GACCCCCACCTGGCTCCAGGCTCCTGTCAGGAGCTGTGCAGAGCCAGAAGGTCTCCCCTGAGCCTCCTTTGCTCCAGGCTCAGCACCCCCAGCTCCCTCAGCTGCTCCTCCCCACACTTGGGCTCTAGACCCTTCCCCAACAGCTCCGTTGCCCCACCAGGATGATGCCAAGAGGGGTTCTGACCCTGCCCCAGAAGCAGTGTCCTACCTGGAAGATGCTCGCTCCATACGGCGTCCTCCAGGCGTTGAGCAGGTTGTCTTTTCCAGTACTCACAAACCATTTCCCTGCACCCAAGGAACACGCTGTCAGCCCCCAAAAACTGCCACTTTTGGACCCTTGCCCCATGGCCAGCAGCTCCAAAGCCACCTGCTGGACCCTGCAGCCTCGTGGTGCCACAGGCAACCACACCCAGCACCATTTCCAAGGGATCAGCCCCAACTGCACCGTGCCAGGATGGGTCCTGCTGGAAGCCCCTGTGCCCAGCACCCCCAACACCACGCTCCAGGCATTGTCCCCTCCTGCCACGCTGCCCAGTGGTCACCCAAGGAGCCCGTGGAGCTCAGTGGAGGGCCAGTCTTACCACAGTAGGCGAACTTGAGGGAGAGGACGCAGCTCTCGTGGAGGTGCAGCTGGTACTTGTCTGGTTTGGTGTGGTGCAGAACCTCCACGTTGCTGCTCTCCATGCCCACTGCCAGCCACTCGCCCGTCGGGCAGTACCCCAGCGAGAAGATCTGTGAGGGGGGCACAGAGGGGTGAGTTTGCACCCACCAGCTCGACCTGCAGCCTCCCACCAGAGCAGGATTCAACCAACTCCCTGTGTCCCTGGTGAGGCCCCATCATGGAGAGATGATGATGGCCTGGACAAGAGTCAAGTTGGAGGTGACTGGTGCCTGGCACAGCCCTGGGCAACCCTCAAGGGGAAGAAATTGTTCCTCAGGGACAACCTCAACCTCCCCTGGGGCAACTTGAGGCTGAGTCCTCTTGTCCTGTCCCTTGTTCCTTGGGAGCAGAGCCTGACCCCCACCTGGCTCCAGGCTCCTGTCAGGAGCTGTGCAGAGCCAGAAGGTCTCCCCTGAGCCTCCTTTGCTCCAGCCTCAGCACCCCCAGCTCCCTCAGCTGCTCCTCACAAGCTTTGCCCTGGTTTTGAGGTTGCTGAAATGCAGCATGCTCCAGGGACAGCTCTGTCCTCAGACAGAAGGTACCTTCCTGCCATCCTCCAGAAGAGGAAGACTCAGGGTGGATGGCAGGAAGACTAAAGAAGGTCTTAATCCATGGACTATAAAGTATGGTGTCAAGGTTTCTGAATGCCCAGATCCATGGGAACAATCTTTTTAGTAGGGCCTGTTGGGACAGGACAAGGGGGATGGTTTGAAACTCAAAGAGGGAAATTTAGACTGGAGAGAAGGAAGAAATGTTTGACACTGAGGGTGTTGAGCCCCTGTCCCAGGCTGCCCAGAGAGGTGGTCGCTGCCCCATCCCTGGAACCATCCCAGGTGAGGTTGGCCGGGGCTCTGAGCACCCTGCTCTAGCTGCAGATGTCCCTGCTCCCTGCACGGGGTTGGACCGGGTGACCTTGAGAGGTCCCTTCCCACCCAAACCAGTCTGGGATTCCATCATGGTGAGTGTTAACACAGTGCAAAGCCCTGGCTGCCAGTGCTGTGGGGTCAGCAGCTGGGATTCTGGCCCCTGATGATGCCACTCCAGTTCCACCAGCCATGTGGCACTGGTGGAGGCTGGTGGCCAGCTCTGAAGAGGTGCAGCAGGGCTTGGAGAGGCACATCTACACGTTTGGAGCAGCCTCATGAGACCTGGGAATGCTGGGACAGCTCCAACCCCACAGAAACTGCTGCACTTGCCAAGAGGACACAAGGTGCAGGGTTTGCTCCTCAGGACAAGAGCTCTGGGAGAACCTTCAGGATCCATCCCACCTGCAGGACATCTTCATGGTCATAGATAACCAGCCGCCAAGCTGGAGGAACAAACCCTTGGGAGAGGGTCTCCACGAGGAGCTGCAGGACAAGGCCAGGATGTTGTCCCCTCCTTGAGCAGCCCGTGCTCACCTGGGAGGTGAAGTCGTGCTGCTGGAGCTGCCTCCCTTCCCTCAGGTCCCAGGAACGCACCGTGTTGTCCAACCCCCCCGTCCACAGCTTCGTCCCATCGTGGGAGATGTCTATGCAGCTGGCACCATCCGTGTGGCCTTGGAATTGCCTTCAAACAAGAAGAAACCCCCACGTCTCCATACGCTGGCAAGATACCAAGGTTGCTTTGAGGTGGCTGGTGCTCAGGCTGCACCCTCTGAACATCCCCCTGCAGCAACCCACCCACGGGAGCAGCATCTGCTGAGGTTCACCACCCTGGTGCTCAAGCCTCCTGGGCTGCCTTACAAAGCATCACGAGATGCCACCATCCCCCAAGGTCTCGAGGCCAAAAACACAGCCAGAAAGACCCCCTTGGAAGAGAAGAGAACCCTCAGTGATGCTGGAGGGTCACCTCACCTGACCAGGGTCTGGTTGTGGAGGTCCCAGACAGCGATGTTGCCATCACTGCAGCAGGAGA